TTTGTCCAAAAATGTTATACAACGTGGAAAGTAAGTGGTTAGAGGCTATAGAAAAAATGTCGTCAAATCCCTAAAGTGGGTGGGGCTTGTGCTAGAACGCAGGAAAAGAGTAGTTTGGGGCTATAAAAGGCTGTGAAACAATCCGTGAATTGCGCGGGGCTTGCACTTTAGTGGCGGGCCAACATCAATAATTCAGAACCTCATTCAAGAATAACTAAAGAATCCGAGAAAATTCCAGAATTCGAGAAAAAAATGGTTGCGGGTGATGGAGGGAATGCGATTAAACCCCTGGAATTGGCAGGGTTTGCACAACGGTTGGCAAAGCTAAGATCTGAAAACATTAACTCTATTTGGAAACGTTTTAGAATGCGGCGAAAATGTTTAGGGACAGCTAGAAGAGAGATGGTCAAACTTTTGTAATAGGAGGATCTGCACTGAGGTCCACTAATAAATTAATTCTGCTCAAATAATTCGTATCGAGCGATGCCTTTAAGCGGTCCAAGCGTTCGAATCTAGGGAGAACTATCTCATTCTGATACATGAAATATTCCGCTAAACGACTCCATTGCAAATGAGCGGTCGTGGATATACGGATCAACTAGTAATGGTATCCTTGGAGCCCCGTTTTCACAAGGTATTTCCTCTGCGAACCCGTAAACATAAGTAATCTGGGAAGTGCGATCAGCCTTTGCGCTGGACTTCTCCAGTTAGTTTGCTTATGCGATACTTATGCGACCTACTGTTATAAATGTTGAATGAGACATTGATGGAAATACGTGTAGTCTGTGATAAAACTGTGTTTTATGTTGTTTATTTTATTAAAACTGTGTTTTATGTTGTTTATTTTATTTTGTGATAACACCTCAAGTATGTTATCTCATTGTGTCTTCATTGAATTCCACATTGCCAATCATAGCTCTTCTTCTGATCCTCTTCATAATGTTGTTCATAGGAATAAAAAAAAGACGCCAATGGTTGAATCTTTGATGTAGCACCGGCCTGAATATTGTGGACATCAACTTTGTACCCTGTAATGAAGTACTCAGAATAATTGGACCGAACCGCTTCACTCATGCAATGATAAATTGCTTTACACACCTTTAGGCACAGCTCGTATGATGGTGTGGGTATTACGGAAGGACGACGAACATGAGTCTGCAATGATGTCGTTTCCTACACTCCTACTGTCAAAAAGGAAAGTTTAATCGAATCGACAATGAGCTCCTTGACATAAGGTGTGTTGTACCAGATTTGTTCACTAGGTTCTAAGCCTTGAAGTTCATAATCCTACTCCTACTAGTCCTACTTATATAATCGGCTAAGTGTCTCTGTTGGTGTGTTTGTGTGTGTGTATGTGTGTCTGTCTGACTGGAAATTCATAACTTCTGTCCCCGTGGACCTAGAAAGTTCAAGCTTGGTAGAAATACTGAGGGCAGGACGGGAACACTTATCTTGGGCGACAGGATCGGACTCCGCCACGTTTTTGGTACCTACTTAACACTATAAACACCTCATCAGCGAAAATCCGAAAGCTAGTGTCTGAAGCGGCATCAGGGTCCTGCTGTCTGAAGTAGGTTTGAGGGAAGGGAATATTTAGCGCAGAGGTTGACAAGTTGGTAGGCGACCCACTACTCTCTGCCTTTGCCTTATAGCGGAGATGATCCTGAAGCTCATGTAAGCTGCAAGTTATCATGGTGATGCTGGAAATATGTTGCGAAGGTGAGAAGCTAGGGCCCATCTCCACAAAAGACCGCACCCAGTCAGGCAGGGGAAATTTCCCAACACGGTGACAATAGACTCGGATTGACCTGATGCTCCCGCATTGTCGTCAGCTCACAGAAACCTGGTTGGTACAACTGAATCTCCCTATTGACTTATGTGTTGAACTCAAAAGGTAATCGAAATTCCTCCCACCCACTGTTCTCCTCCAAAGGTGATCGTCTAAAAGCCGGCCGCAACACTGATCTTTTTCCAAGCACTTCTTCAGCATAGAGTACAATAATAAGGGGTTTCATTGCAGCTATCGTTGTGCTACTCTGTTTTACGGAATATAGTGAGTAGTTCGAGCTCGCTAGACTGAATGAATACTTATGCTCCCTCATCTATTGAATCTGTGCTTTCGCTGAATCCGCACGCCTGCGAACTTCCGCGGCAGTTAACTTTGACGATGATGAAAAAGATTTGTCTATATTCTGTTAATGCGTACTCCCCTCAGTACTCCTTTCGCTAACCACTGTCATTAGGCTATCACGATTGGAATATAATTGAATAGGAAACGAGCCTTTGCCTCAGGCCGTTTCCGATTCGACTTTTCTCTTCAAATGGTTCCGAATAAATCAGGCAGGTGTATAGGCTGACGAATTTCGGCCACATATGTTGAGCACGGTCATTTGCTGAAAAAATGAACCTTGAAGAGTTAAATGTATCAATACGCATATAAAAAGAAGCAAATTGCGTTGGAATTGCTACGAGAATTTGAAGGGGAAGTCTATCCTATCCAGAGGGATGCAAATTCGAATAAATATTATAAATGTATAATATTCATTTCTCATTTCCGTAGTCGATATGTGTACATCGAACAGAAAATTTACAGACCGTTACTTCCAAACTTTTTGAAAGATCCAACAAACTGTATGTCGCATTGCAGAATTGATCTTCTATCTTCTCTGTCACTATACAACTTCACTGATGGATAAGAACCTTCCGTATGACTACGTCGAGCTCAAGCCTCAGCTTGATTCCTAGTCAAATATCAAGAAGTGTATGAGAACGCACCAGCCCTATTTTGGCTGGTTTACGGATCCGTTTAAGAATGAGCTGAGTAGGTACCCACTATCTAATAGGTCGGCGTTTTCATCACTCTTAGAAATCAGTTATAAGAAACTGACCTTGATAGAGTAGAGTACTTTCCCATCCGGGCGTGTTTTGAATTTTGGTCTTCTGATACCTCCTGTGTTACTTTCAATGTAAGCCGACTTTCATGTGTAATACATTAACAGTCGTTTGGTCAAAAAAAAGCCTTTGGGCGCCTGCTCAGGTAAGCCAGAGATCAATAGCTCCAAACTACTTCCAGGTCCTTGGAGACGACGAGTTACTCGGAAGGTCGGCCTAATAAACGGTTCCATCATAACAAACCTGTACGGCAAAGCATTCTGAAATATTAACAGACGATACTTGCACGAGCCATTAGGAACTTTTAACGCATTTACATAAGCTACATATTGTTGAATCAACAGTCATCATTTGCTTCATCACTTACGACTCATAATTGTACTTTCAAACGTTGGTGTCGAGGTTCATCAGCAGTGCTCCTGCCAACTCAGGCTAATACTATTTCAAGCCTTTCGCGTTGTACACTCACAATCAGTATTGGCGGAATTGGTGTTCTAGCCATTCAGAGTAAAACGAATGAATGTTTACGAGTGCCCGATCACTGGCGACGTATTGGCCTTGTGGAATACATGTTTCACAAACATATTCGGACACTTTTATCACCTTTCGTAATCTGAGCTGCACGAAAAACAGTACACAAAAAGTCCGTCGCCGCATCTCTGTGTGTGTGGCTTAAAGCCAAGGTCATTCGCGTGCTTAGCCGAGTAGGCTAGATAATGGCATAAGTTGCTCATACAAGGCGCAGATCCCTCCACTATTTCAAGGGCTACGTATACTTACTTAATGTTTTTTCTTGAGCACTTTTTTGTCAAAAGTTTTTCAGTCACTTATTTGGGATCCCCTAAAATTTTCTTCACGCAAGTGCCTTAGAAGTAATTTCAATGGTCAAAGCTGCCGATGAAGTGAAAGCCGGACAATATGCATTGTACTTGATTCGCTAATCGTATGCAAATGTTTGAGGGCTGTCTGGGGGCTCCGGGAGGTCGTTGTGCGATTGTTTTTTACCACTCTCCGCGATTCATTTATTGCGCATTGCACAGGCGTTCGCCCAAAGACACCCTCACCACGCACGCATGCTTTTACTCTCAAGGTCACAATCACTGGGTGGTCGGTTTCGACTGACCAAGAGTCATTTCGTATCTTTTTTGCCTATAGCCACACATCGTCTACATCAGAGGAATCCTCGCATTCCGTAGGAGCTCTGCTAGTGAAGCGACTCACATTTACAACTCAAGTGAGGAGAGCTTCATTTTGTTGAGTACATCGACGAAATCTGTCTTCAGCGATTAGTCCGTTCTCCTCATCAGCCAACATCAAATTAAAATCCTTAAACCGAGTGCTGATTTGAGTCGACTCTCACAGTTTTTGGTAATATTTACTCTGATCATCTGTTAAATCACAACAACAACGAGCTCTAACTTCCCACCGAATTATGGCCAGTCTTTCTTGTCAACGGAATCGCCTATGTCGGATTGCTACCGGATTGATTGTACACAGCGATTTTCTTTATTTTCCTCTTTCCATCCAATAAATTAAACTTTAAGAAAGACTTTAATGACCGTTGCCATATCGTTTTTTCTACGACGCCCGGAATGGAAAGCGCAGTGAGCTGAGCGGACTGAAGGTTTGAATTCATGTACTTCTTTTCCTGTGCTCTCTATGCTTGATCAGTAAGTCCTTCTAGTCAACCGCCCAGCTTCTTCGCCTCCGTCCATTGCCGCCGCTTTTTGCTACCGCCTCTGAGGCCGCGTACGGCAATATATTTCGATTTCTATACTCTTTACGCTGTCCAATAGGCAGTCAGAAAGGGGCGGGGCTACCGTAGTTTCATAGCGAGACAAGAGTTCGTTGGCCACAGTTATCCTCAGTTCTTCTTGAGCCATTCAGCTAATACTCGGCGTTTTCTGTCAGCACTTTCAAGAGTCCCATATCCCTGTGACAAATTTGAGCAATTGACATTATTGAACGGGGTCCTACCTTCGAACATTCATGAGTAGTTACGTGTGGTTTTTATAGCTATGGAGTAAATTAAAAGATATTACATCCAGAGTTATATTCTGCAAATCACTTCAATGAAGAACTAAGCCATGGATTTCAGTGAATGACAGATGAATATCGAGGATATCGTGCCAGAATTGTTTGGCGAGAAGCGAGTGTATTACTGCCAACGCTGTCTAAATCATGGACTTCATGTGAAACGTAAGAATCACAAGCAGAATTGCGCATATAGCATGTGTCAATGTTCCGATTGCATCGTGAGTTTTCATTATTTCTAGTAATCATGATGAAAACAGTCGACTTTGCTTGAAAGTTGATCGCTGAGCTGATCCGCTCATCTGTTATGCAACAAGCACCAATTTAGATGGTGGAGCGCAGGCGAGAGTTAAACAGCCGCCTCGTACAGATTGAAGGTGAACCTGGCCATCAAAACTCCTCAGAGTCGCCGTGCGGAGTCGAGGATACTACCGGAAAGGTTAAAGGTATTCATTTTTATTCTTGTAACTTTACCACTCAGAAATAGTGCTCTTCTAGACTCATTCGCCCTTCCACGCACATTTCATTAGCGTTTCTTATCAAGACAGAGTTAAATAGAGTTGATCAATCAACGCAAGATGTATTCTTCTCATCGGATCCCGCATATTCTATTAATTACTTGGTACTACAAATTCCCTCCAATACCACTGCAGTTACCTGTAGAACCCCTATCATGAATATCCTGAAAACACCCTCGAAAGAGAACTCACCGAAATGAGGAAGAAAAAAATGAGTTCATAATATTTGGAGCATACCTCAGAACCTGTTGCCTATAGTGGAGAGATGTGATGAGGATCCTTTTAGTGGAATCAAGGCGAAGTAATGACTTCCAGGCTCCAGGCTGTAAACTTCCTCTGAACATTTTCGTGCTGGCGATTTATGGTCAGTTTGATTCACCCGTCAATCTGTGACGTTCGTTTTGATGGGGTGATATTGGTCAGTCAGCTGCTTCTCAGAGAACTCTTCAAAAAGGTGTAGGAGAAGAATTGGAAAAGACAGCTGTGTCCATTTCGCCCAGTAATCGCCGAGTTTCTTTCGTTGGTGTTATTACCGACACTAGTCATTGTGAAATGGACAGCCAACAGCCTTTGACAGGTGCCGATGCAGCGCTGTTAAATGCCCGTGCTAATTGCTCAAAGGTATACCTGATGTTGAACTCTCTAGGTGGTCGCTCAGTCTTTGCGTTCTGGTGTATCTAACGGTAATAGAAGTCTGGTTAAAACAAATCACAGATACAGAAAGAAAGTATAATAGACCTTGGTCTATCGCAGGAGTGCTTGCGATGGCTCTTTGACCATTGGCTCCAAACTTGCGGGGGCCCCGGGGTAGCTTCGCCTCGACTATCTTCTGGTTGCTGCGCTCCCGAAACTTTTGAAAGCTGAGCCGTGCCACTTGCAACGCCACCTATTCTACGAACATCGATCTCATGAAACCATCCAACGTTGAGGAATGCTGCACTTACATATCTTGTGCCATTGCTCCGCTTCTCCCTAATTCTTCAAGAACTCCTAAGGATAAGTGCATGTTGGCGATAGAACAGCTGTCTTTAAGGTCCTGTTGAACAACCCTAGACAAAATATGAAGCTACATGCGCAAATTTTCTGAATGAAACTTTCTGAAATTATTTCTCCTCCCATACTCGATAAAACTTTTCAAAGCAGCGGACACATAATTGCGAACTGGGCACACTACTATTATCGTATGAAAAAAAGTGAACAGTTTTTTTTTATTCTCAAAGTACTCCGTTGGCGTTTAGAAATGTAGGAAAGTAACCTCAGAATTCGACCTCTTCTTAACTTCAGACCTTGAATTCCCTGCAAGACCGAAGAATAAAATTCTCGGGAAGCGCAATCGTAACCAAGAGTTGAAAGACGTCCAAAAGACGTGAAGGATGAGCTACTATACTAGCTATACTATACTTTAAGTCAAGCTTGGTAGCCTGTTTTTTGTAGGCTGACTTCGACTGAGACCTTTTGACCGCATGCTTCCTCCCTCACGCTTCAAGAAGAATTCCGTTGTTCGTGCAGAACAATATCTCCCCCATAGCATCGCATCAAAACAAGTATCAACATCTCGCTCTGACGCCGGCCGGCATCCCATGAAAAACGCGGAAATCATTACTTTGTCTTGGTCGAACATTTCCTCTAATGAAGGCGGTCCGAGAAGGGCAAGTATAGATTCGTTACCTCGCAGGTTACCTCGTCATAACAATCTATGGTGTACAATACTGGAAGCCACCAAAGAAACACATGAAAATTAAATGTGATTGGGTCTTGTTTGGTTTGATTTTGAATTACATCACTTTAACTTCATACCTTTCATACCGAGTAGTTCAAAAGTCATTGGCAAAGCTGTCCTGTCCATGTCCTTCTCCTCCGTCTATGTCATTCTAGAGCCCCATCATAATAATCGAGTGATATTGTTGTAACATTCCTAAATTCTGATTGAGTTCCCATATAAACTACCGTTAAGCTTAAGCTCACTGTTTTTGGAAACAGTACCAAACCTTTTAAAGAAATACAGAACTATATATGCCTCAACATCAAATAAGGAGTCGTAGGGAATTTTTCAAATACTCTTTGTTTTTGCACAATATATTTTTGAGCTGTGAGCTCTCATGAATGCGGGTTTCAAAGGCCCGAGCAATAGGGTATTTGACGTCGAAACCATTATTGTGAAAACAGCATCTTTTAAGAACGTCGTCCAAACTGTCAACGATGTGCGCAGCATAACGTCGTCAATCGACTGAAGGGACACAAAAGAGCATGTCCATTCAAAGAGTGTTTCTGCCCAAAATGTCAGGTACGTACGGTGGTATGTTCCATTTTCCTTCCAGTGAATCTGAAGAACACAAGCTGTCCGTCTGAATGTCAGGGTGTCATGTCGTGAATGAATTTCTTCAGTGTCGACGACTTTTTTGAATCTCAAGTAAATTAATGTCGATTCAAATCGTTTGTCAGTGGTGCGAGACGAACGTTGGCGTTTTCCAAGTGCTCATCACTTTTCACACCAGGTGGTTGTTGAGCGACAGAAATTGATGGCTGATCAAATTAAATTACGACGACGGCAGAAGCGCGAGAAGAGCAACACACTTGAAAGACCTCGAACTCCTTCCAGCACTACACGTAGGTCTTTTTTTTTTGAAATATTTAGTTGTCCGCCACGGTTTTCTTATTTTTTCATGAGCTTAGTTCGTGGCTTTTTCTTGGAATGTTTTGTTGTGAAAAAGCACTCCAAATGGAGCCGCTCCTTTTCTAAAGTCCTAATTCTCTGATCATTTTTTCTGAAGGAAGTGCCCCAAACCGCGATCAAATGCCCATAAGTTTTCTACAGCTACTTCTGAATCGATGTAGCCTGCCATTTCGTTTTTCGTAGCGTCTACGCCTGAATGCCTAAAGTGTTTTAGCCTTGCATTCAGTGGCGAAGAAAAAACCACAAAATTTCTTTGACGGTTTCTTCCGACCACAGATTAGTACGAGCTCCGGTGGTTCACATGGGTCAATAATACCTCCAGCCAGAGACACCATTTTAAGTCGACCTATGTTTGATTGGCCCTGAGAGTGCAGCCGAAAGACGGGCATGCAGAAAAGTGCTAAATTCGGCATTCAGAGATAAAAGGCTTCCCATCAAGAAGGCCAAGAGGTGGAATGGGTTCTAAGTAACCAGCTCCTCCTGATGTGCTTGCCTGGGTTGTCTTGCGGAGTCAGCACACCCACTTACACATTATATGTCCATAGCAAATGCGAAAACGAAGCAAAATATCCTTACCGACAATTTCACATTTTCCAACGGTTACCAGTCATTGCAGATGTTTTGATTGTCTAATTCTGATTATTAAGTGGATTACACATGAATTTCAGCGGAGGTATGCTTGAAATGCACGCAACAGGCCATTGGTTACCAACACCTGATGTCGATTCTCGATCCAACCAACGTCTCTGAGACTTTCCTGAACCTCTCCGCAGTTCTGCAAGCTTGCCCACACAAGGCTCCTGCCCAGAATGTAATCGAATCCTCCACGTCCCTATTTGCCAATCAAGTATCGCCATTTATCATGGGCCCACGCATTTCTGCATGCACCGAAATGAGACAGAACCCCGATTAATGTGTCATCCATGAAAGGACCTACCAACGAGAGCTTCTCACGTGTAATTTGTTGAGTTTGTGAACATATTGTTACGTTTAGCCATTCTCTACTCTCACAATGCCCACAATTGTCCTCTTTGACTCTGCTTGAATTCCCATGTACCCGCACCAACTTGTGCAAGATGATGGCTGCCTTCAATCCCGGTGCTACCAAGCCATCCCTTCTTATGTTGCTTTGTTAATATCTATGATGACTACGGTACTTGGTATCTCTCTGTATTTGTTAGAATGAGTTCTTGTGCATTGCCTGCTGTATCTCAAAGATACGCTAAACGAGCGTCAAGCTCGCAGTATTCATTCAGATACTCATGATCTCCCATGAGCCATTCCATTCGAATAAATAACTGCAAATGAGTGTGCACATTTATTACACACAGTAATCGTGGAAACAAAGGCAATGTCCATGAGAAATAACACTCCGATTTCAGAGGGGCTAGATATCGACAGATGGGACACAAAAACGACTATATTTTAGCCGAGACGGCCACGAAACAGTGTGTGCCCAATGGAGCCAGCGAGCACAAAAACTAAATTGGCGATGAAATCAACATTGCGTTGAGCGCAACGGGTGGTCACCCGATTTGGATGAGGAAAAGCACGGCGGCAGCGACTACAACGAAGATTGAGGGATTGAGCTTGGCGCCGAGCAGCCGTTCACAAAAAGCGCCATTCTTTCAAAACTTGGAATTTATAGAAGAGGTGCTGATTTGATTAATTGCTAGAACCTGTTCTCAAAAGGTTGATGAACGAGAATAAAGCTCTTCGAATATGAATATTTCTTCAATCTCGCTACCCTTTGCATAGTTTTGCAGTGGAACAATTTTTTGTTCAAAAATATTATAGTTGTTCTATCACGTTGTTCATAATGATGTTCCTTCCTTTCCTTTACGGTCATTTTCCCATCAATTTTCTTACCTGGGAGGTTCTTCGTACAACGTTTATTGACTCACCAGTAAACCTCGTGTTATTAGAAACTTAACCCCTTTTTGTAGACTTACTGCACCTGTGATTTCTGGACCTGTCGGCATCTATTTTTCACCATTCGAACGTATGAAAACTAATCTTAGAGATTCGAATTTAAGAGCGTCAGTTACTAACACGCTGTATTCGTTAATTTACTAACCCCATGTTTGGGTTGGCAGTGCTTCAGACGCATGAAAACAAACAAATAAATACCTCTTGGTGTTTGCTTTGAAGGCACAGCTCACGATAATTTTGGGCTATCCAGTTTTCGACGGAAAATGATAGGCACGGCTTACAGCAGTACAACGGTAAAGCAGAAAACGCAAAAAACGGCGAATAAAAGAAATATAAAGGTTCAAAAAAGAAGTGAAAAGGGGACACAGAAACGAAAATTCAGTACGACACTCAGCTCCTACAGTAACCCGGCACGAGTTAATACGCAAATTTTTACCCGTCGCACGCGTGGAAAAGAGGCCTTAGGCGAGGACACGGGTATGGATGGTGTGTAAGCCAGGGGGTTACTGTAAGAGCCGAGTGAACGTACTGACTTTTCGTTCTGCGAGTTGGACGAGTTACACAGCGAACAGCGGAAAACGGCGGTTAAGGGGAGTGTTCGGGCGAGTCAAGCGAACGCGACGCAGTGTCTGCAATTGCACACAACACACCAAAACAGCTGATTTCGACTTTTAATCAAAACTATTGGGTTGTAACATAAGTTCGTAGAGCTTTGCGTTAGGATTATTTTACAACGACTTGTTTTGTTTTTTAGCAAAGTGTTCGAATGAGCTCTCGTCTACAAAACTGTTTTATTTGTTTTTTTTGGGATAATTTAATTTTTCCTCTTTTTTCTGGTTCAGAAATTGAATGCTCAGGAGGGAGAAAACAGCATTTCCGACATCCGCTTTTCTTTGCTTTTCATCGAGGTCAAAAAGCAGCCTAAGCCGCTCGGGACATATGCAGTGTGTACGAAGATTGCCCAAGTCGTCAAAACAGCACTCCAAGAGCTTGAATGGGAGGTTCTTCACCACCCACCGTACTCTTCTTATCTTGCACTTACCGACTATCATCTTTTCCGCCCCCAAATGAGGTGTGTAACCTTCAATAGCGAAAAGGATCACAAAAAGTGGCTCAACAAATTCGTCGACACGAAAGCGGCCGATTTTTGGCGAATTAGCACCAACAAATTGGTCGAGAGAGGAATTGGGAGGTCGGAACGGAGGCTATATCATTGTTCTTGTTGTATAATTATTGTTTTTGTTCAAATAAATCTTCGTGAAAAAACTCTACGAACTTATGTTACAAGCCAATATTTATTCTCTTGCTGCTATTAAGCCGAATTATTGAGCAGAATCAATTCGCCGGGACGAGAAGGTAAGTAAATTTGTTTATATTCATGTTTTTACGCTAAAAACTTCTTATATATGTTCCTGTTTCGTTGAATTGCGCTCTTTTATGAATTTCATGCTAGCATTTTCAGTTGTTTTTTTATTTGCAACGTATGCTCTTCATTTGGGGTCATTGATGTGTTCTTGTGCAATGTCAAAAACACTCTCTGACCTTCTTTTGAAGAATTATGTTCAATTAGAAATTACTTATAACAGCATGCCAGCCCCCTTCCTTTCCGCTTGCCTAGTGATCAATACATTGGTATTGCGTGTGTAACAAGGAAAACTCAAGCCTTTCAAAAAAAAATTCATTCATGAAACAGATGTAACTAATATTAACAAAAAATGACTACACCAACAATTAATATATTAAAAACTATAATAAATATAGGGCATTGAAGAGAAAACCGTAAACGCTATTAGATATGAGGTAGATAAATGTTTTTAAAAGCACACCCGTGTCACAAAGTGGACAAAAGCTAGATACCTAGGTAAGAAATTGAGGCAACATAAATGCATGAAGTGATTATATACAGAAAGCGTTAATTATATATTATAAACTAAAACAAAACAAAACCATTTATGCAGATACAGATATACTAAAAGATATAAGAAAGCACAGTTGCAGTTGATACAACATGATGAAGCGGACGTAGATGGGGTGGTTACGACGAAGTGGAATGACGAGGAAGGTCACGGATCTGTAATCCAATTAATATACTATAAAAGTTCGAAAACAGTTAGCTTGAAATATCTGCAAAAAGGTGTTAAAATCGACTACTTGGTCTCGTAAATGAATTGTTATTGAGATAACTTTCTAAAAGCTTGATAGTCAGATGTCAAGCGATCAAGGGATTGCTTGCCCTGTAGTTGTGGAAAATCCTGACCCGGAAGTGGTTCACCGCCTTCGTAAAAGGGGTGAGGAAAAGTAGGCGCTTAAACGAGCCAGGATCAATGAGAGGTTGGATTTTTACAACCGGAATGTACAAGAGCATTAGGTAACAAAGTATTCATCTTGTTCAGGTATTGTCTGTTGCTCTCCCACCGAGTGGTGCTCCTGTGACTCATGCGTACCGTTTTCTACGGTACGCGAAAATGTCTGCTGCAGGAGGCCCTCGAGAGCAGTGGAGGTGGTGGAGATGCAGTCACCGAAAATGAAACCATGAGGGGGTTGCGCCAGAAGAACAATGCTTAGTTCACCACCCCTCATTTCATGAAATAGCTTTAGATCGAGAGGTGCCCTAACATTATTTGTAAGTTATGGCGTCAATTTCCTTTATATATAGTTGAGTCAGCTACTGCGCATAATGCTAGAGCAGATGAGGTTAGAGAAGAAGAAGCAAATGCGGCATGTGGAGGATGATAATAAGCAAGTTATCATCTAGAGGATGAATCAGTCTTCCCCAATCTGTCTGTTTAGATGCTTCCGTTATTGCGCTTATCGCTCCTCCGTATTTTGGTGCTATGAGCGTCTCGGCCTAGGTTGGAGGTTTGAAATTCCTGCATGTTTAGAGGCGCCATGGTAAGGGAGTTCCCTTCTGAATATGGGAGCTATGTATTTGCCTTCAAGGTAAGGTGGCCGTTATTCTAGTAGCGCCACACAATTACAAAGTATTACAGGGACCCAGCAATAACGGAAGCATTGACTGCGACGATGAAGAATGGCGCGGTACTCTTGTATAAATAAATATTTCTGCTCACCTCTACAGCTCACATTCGTATCGATCGTCAGCGGCCATGAGTTCCGCGATCACCTCACTTGAGTCATTGTGCTTCTCTTGCTAGGCTATGAGGTGGCTCCTGAGAACTTCATCCAAAAAACTAAGCCCCTACACAAACGTTTGGCTGAAGATTTTAGTTCCAGCCTAGATTTCCTCGGAAGGTGTTTTCGCTGGATCTCTCGTGTCTTCAGCACGAGAGATTCAGCGAAAATCCCAGTCGCAAGTGGATAGAATATCTCCTTACGGCAGTAAGCACTATCCAATTCATTCTTCGCCTCGCATATGGAGGTTTCTCAATGAGGACTAGCCCGTGACAAATCTCTTTGGAACTACTTAGTTAGGATAAACTTCCGGATCTCCTCATAAGCCCTGCTTCCAGCAATCGAAACTACGTTCGCGATTCCTCCGCCCATGGTCCATGGCCGCCCTTAGCGTAAGGACTCGTCGAGACGCCATGAAAATAGCTAGTGAAGTGGAAAAATTATGTGGGACGTGGTATAATGAATATATTTACCAGTGGCCATTCATGAACATCCATTATGTGCATGAGACATGTGTTAAAAATAGCCCGGACGTCAGCATTGCAATCGGTTGCGTGTCCGATGGAATTCCACAACTTCTTCAACTTCTTCAACTTTCCTATCCGCGCCGATTTGTGAACATCCATCAAATTCAGAATCCTGTGAAGTAAAGGGATGTATGAAACTCTCAAGGAGGACTCTATCAAGGAAACATTCCAGGATAACGTCCATACCTTTCTCTATTCATTTCCTAACCACTTTTCTAAATGATACCTGTCCTAATAATGCCGAAAGCCGCCTATCTCAGGTTCCATCTCTCGCAGCGCTGCTCCAAGCGCCCTAATTCGGTCGGTAGTATCGAACTGACTCTGAAGCTGTGAGCCTCCACCCACCGCATCAGTCGGCGCAGTCCTTCAACTTCCTT